ATAGTTTTGTATGAAATTATTTTGATATAATGTTGTCTTTATTACTAGAATTGATTAAAACTCGGATTTTAGTATTCTACCTTCTGTAGAAGGATGTTCATTGTGACGCTGTCATCGTTCAACTTAAATTTAAAAAAAAAAAATCTTCCTAGGTTATTGAAAAATAAAAATAATATTGACGTACTCACTTTGTAATGTAAATAAAGCACTTAACTCGTTTATACGTTTCGTTTTATATCGTGATATAATTTAGAAGTATTTAATGTGATTAATGTTCAGAATGTTACAATTTTAGTAGATACTATAGATATTAAAATTTTATTTTAACGTTTATTAGTTGTTTTTTATTTTTGTAATTTAAGGTTTATGTCATAATCATTTTTTACAAAAAACCGTAGTTTAAACCATGTAATTTGATACAGAATAATAGAATAGATACATTAATATGTTTTTTAAAAGAAAAAACTTAAGTGACTATCATTACAATTAACAAATTAATAGAATTATATATTATATTCATTGTATAAAAGTAAATATTTATTTATTTAATAACAAGTTTGTTATATTAATTCATAACCCGTATATTATATTATATTTTCTATAAATAATTGTTATTATATTCAAAAGTTCATCGAATTAATAATCTTTATTTTTTACTTTAATCGTTGAAAATATTGATTTAAAATAACTCGAAATGGCTAAAACACACCAACAATTTGATTCCTTTAATTTCAAATATTTCTAGTAATTAAGTAATAAACACGTCATCGACGGTTTTTAAAACTTAATTATTGAAATTGATTGGTTCCTTAGACCCAATCCTCAGTTAAAATGAAATAATTTACCAAGTATGTTTATAGACGGTAATACTGATATTTCAAAATAAAAAATCATAAACCTTGCTGTTGTTCTAATTCTACTAGAAATTTTTCATTTAATACGATTTATTTGCAAACATTTTTCTACGCGCAATTAAAAAAAAATGATCTAGTTCGATTAGCAAATCAAATAGTTATCACTACCACTGAATTTAATACTTTTTTTGGCACAAAACTATTTTTCTTACAAATCTTATATTATACATTATCAGTTCTGGAAAATTAATCTTACTAGGCGCCAAGTAGTCGGTTTTTTGTGACTTACATTAGGTCACAACTTCCGGCCATTCTCTTTATTTCAAATCACTTTAAACTTATCTTCCTTGAATACTAAGAAACTACAGAACCTCGAACTCATAATTTACAATTGTCTTTCTTTTTCATTTAAAACACTTGTTTTTATTTAAACACGAATAGAATTTTTGAATCCTATTGCCAGTATAACACACACATTTTATAGAATTCTCGTTTTCCTAACGGTTTTTCTGTTCATAATATCATTCTAACAAATTAAATAAATAACAATTTTATGGATTTAGCATTATCAGATATAAGATATTGCATTTTGATTTTTGATACTCTTATAATATTAAAATATTTTCTCAATTTATTTTAATTTTGATTATGCACAAAATAAATTATATAATTTGTTTTTGATACTTTTATTTATATTTTTCAAATATCTTAAATTTTATACCAATATATAAAATATTTTCTACACATTTTACAATTGTTTGATAACAAAATTAACCTAAATAGTCAAAAAATAATGTTAATAATTACGTTTGATTGCTTGACAATATATTTGTCTTAATTTGATTTTCTGTTAATACTACTATATAAATAATATATTTGAAATATAAAATAGTTTCATACAATAAATATCGTATTAAAACTAGATGTGATGGTTATATGGAAAAACTGACCACTAAAATATGATAAATAATAATAATAATAATAATAATAATAATAATAAAAACTTTTACCATATCAAACTACTTAAAAAAATATATTTACGTATTTAAGAAAAATTAAAATTTATCATAATTTATTAGAAAATGAAGCTATTAAATATTAAGTAGATTACATAATAACATTTATCTATGTTAAAAATAATAAATTTATAATTCGTTAAAAAGAATACTTGAATTTTATTACAATCGTTACTTTAAATCGTTATTTTGATAAATTAAATATATTCAATTATTACATAAAATCCTTGTAAAATAGTAGAAAATTTCAAGTAACCATTAATTTTATCTTATTTAAATTCTAGCATATAGTATGTTAAAATGTATAACTTAATTAATTTTATTATACGTGCTAAGTGAATATTATAAAAATCCTAGATATATGTAATCATTATCTTTGGTTAATTTAATTACTCTACGGAATATTTATTTTTAGTATTCTTGAATTATTTTCTAAATAATAATATAATATGCTAACGTATATTATAATACTAAATAGATATATATATATTTTTTATTTAGTGTGTAGTTTTTTTTTTTTTTTTTTTTGGGTGTTCAAACTTATCCATTGTGTCAAAACTTTTTTAATCTTTCATCATAACATATTTTGTAAAAATAAAATGAAAAAAAAACAGTACAAAGTTATTATCGTTGTGTTTGATGTTCTTGATTTTGCGATATATTTATTTGAAGCTCAAAACAAAATAAGTTCTATAGTTGTTAAAATGTAACAACTGTAAATATTAAATTTAAACAATGAAGTTTGTGCATCATTAGATGCTCATAATCGCCAACTCAGTTGTTAAATAGAATATTAATATTATATCGGGAGCGATGATGTAAATATGGGAGGGAATATTTTGTAGCATAACCAACGAATAAATTAGATTAACCAATTCCCCTCTGTGTGTACACAACCGTTTATATTGCATTTTGGCGTTTCTTTCAAATTCAGACGTAAGCCAAATATTATTATATACACACTGCACAGATGCAATGTACCTGCTAAGGCGATAACGACATTTTTTCGGGTATTTGATATCTCTAAAAAGTCCAAATGTTTGGAGTAAGTTTTTTGTAGTACGTTTTTGTCGAATAAAACATATGACAACCAAGAACGCATATCTATCAAAATATAAGGAAGTGACTTAAGAGATGAACTTATAAGCGAAAAAATTTAAATAAGAACCAATAGTTGTTTTTTTTTTATTAATAGATATTTCTATATTTTATGATTTACTAGTTTTTGAAGCTGATGCAATTAGTTACAATTAGTTATGTTTATGTATTATGTATAGTTTTAATTAATGATAGCTGATAAATGGTAAGTGATGTGAAGTATTAAGAACGGGTTCATCTTTCATGTCTAGACATCTCAACTTAAAAAAAAAAAAATAGCCAAATATATTAGTTTTTTAACCATTCCCAAAATACTAATAATATCTAAACTGCAAAAAGTGAAATTATTTTCATTAGATACAACGACACGATTCGAGGTATATTTTTAAGCTAAGTTTACAATTTATTTGAAATAACTAAAAATTATTCGAATTTCACAAGGCCAATAAGGTATATTATTTCGGATATCCCTCAAAATAACACCGAAAATACGTCACCAGATGGGTGCATTCAAACAGTTGAGTTTTATGATTTGTGAAGTTAAATCATCTTCAACATCGTACAAACCCATACGTAACGTAACACATGGTATTATACTAGTTTAAAAAAATAAATAACGAAGAAAACGAAATTTTACATTTTTTCTTTAGAGGTGCCATGTAACGTCTTTCTGATACGCACACTTAATGACGGCTGTTATTGCACAAACCGAACAAACATACTAACACAGAGAAAAAACCGCTACCGATAATATTGGACTACTTACGCATATATTGCAACAGGATAAACGCATACAATGTACTTTAACGCGGTATCTACAGCAACCATTCCTTGGCCCATCACAATAATACGTCTACGACACGGTACAATGCTGTTATCAACGCCTCGCCGACCGCATAGATCGAGCGAGGTGTGTGGGACGACGCCGTTTTATAAACGACTACAACACGACCCGCACCGCCGCGCCGGTACGCTATTGCGTCCGTTTTGTTTTTACCGTAGGACCCTGCGTGCTACCCTATACTGCCGTTCCTTTTTGATACTAAAACCTTGACATCCACTCTCATCCCAAACGTTTTATTCGCACCGAACTACTCCCGGGGAACCCTGATTCATTTGTCAAGACCTACGTAAGCAAACTCTCGTCTAGTCAATCTCCCTTAGTGTTATTATTGTGTTTCAACGTTTCAGTCGCACGAATTCGTTTTGTTTCTCGTCGCCGTATCATAAATAAAACCTATATGACTTTAGATGAGCGTGTTCTTGTAATGTGTCACACTTACCCTCACGAACTGCTCGTGAACCCGTATACAGGGTGATTTACCGAGTACCTATATATTATATTAACCCACATTTTTTTCATAGTATAATGACTTGATTAGTTTTCTGATTTTTGAAATTTTTAAATATTCACTATTTACAATTTATACTGTATATTCATATTCTCGAGATTTTTTTTAAAGTACGCGAAAGGCGTTTCTTTGCAACAAAAACTTTTGTTTATAAAATGAAAACACCTCTTATCTAGTTTTTTACCGTAAATTAATTAATGTATAATGTTCCTGAAAATTTTGATGTAACATAACCGAAATTCGAACGAGTAGTTTTTGAGTTAATTAACTTTGTGTTCTATGAGTAATAGGTCCATGGGAATTCTCAATTAAAAAACAGATCTCTGTGGTGCCACGAGTAACTTCTTACGTTCTTACGTAGTACACACAATATATGTCAAGAATATGAAAATATGGTCTTTAAGCATATTTAAAAATTAGAAAAATCAGAATTTAAACACATTCATCATTAAATGAAAAATGCGCTTGGTGAAGAATCATCGTCTATAGTAGTAGTGTTTAGTATAAATTAACACGGTTTTTGGTATGATCATACGAGGTATTGAATATCAAGTAGTGTATAAAAGTAAAAAGATTGTATTGATCGATTATACCACGCGTCACAATAATAATAATTTTCGTTTTATCGGCAAACTGGCCGGTGATTTGTGGTGGGCAACAGTCGCGTGTAAGTTACTTGCCTGGAACCGTTGAAATGGCCAGTTTTGAGGAGTCTGTACACTTGTAGTTCCACGCGTTTGCCGTACCCGGGGTCCAGCGTGTACCAGCAATAATTCGGGCCTGAAAGTGCGGGAGATTTGATCTGGCCGAACGTCGAATTTGAACGGGCCAATAACATATCGGCTTTTATTGTGACGTTGCACACTGAAACAAACCGACAATGTGTTTCGTTAGTTGTTATAATATAATTGTATCATGTAAAAATTAATAACTATAAGCTATGGACACTATTTTAAGTGCCAACGACAACAAAAAGTATGCAATAAGATCGATATACGATATTTATACACGAGTGGATATGTTGATAAAAGTAAAATTAACCATGATTAATTTTAAAATCGATTTTGAGAAATAAGCTGCAAAAAATAAAACCTTTTTCACTACAAAAGTTTATAGTTAATGTGGACAAAATTATCAACTCAACTCAGTTAAAGAAGTCAAATTATTATTTTTTTAAATTATCACCTAATTATAACCTAACTTTGTGTTTTTTTTTTTTAATTACAATTTAATGTACTATAACTTATTCTTAGACACTAGCTATCTTGGTTTAGGGCGTTTAGGCAATATTACACGTTTTTGTCAAATAAATTATTGACTGAGGGATATAAATATATTTTACATTTTTTAAACTGATAAATAAATTAAGTTATTTGTACTTATTACAATGAATTCGTTACAAGTTTGTAAAAAAGTAAAAAAAAAAAGTTTTGACTAATTAATACATAACGCCCACTTTGTTGATATAATATAGTCAATGATGATCCAAATATAATATACTGAATAATTTATAAGCATCGCAATATAATATTATGATAACTTCAAGTCAATGTAATATTATATTAAATTTGCGACGTTTATAAAAAATGTATAAGACAGTCAAGTTTTAAACGTAAGTATTATATAATTTCATACATTTTATGGAATAATTAATTTTAAATTACCTACTCTGACCCTTATAATAGGTACATACTACCTATCTATCTACTGTATAGTTGTGTGTAAGTGTAATGTAGGCTTTGCTACGGACGTTATTATGTTTCAGTATTATTAGTAACCAATAATCATTAGTGTGGTGCGCTCTCAAAAGATTTGTCGTTTCATACGGTGTGCAACGTAATACAAAGGCGCTTTAAAATTTCAAAAAGTAAAATCCGGGTTTATGTGTTGCTAATAACGTCTAATGAGTTGAACATAATTTGTAATCTTGATAATTTATTATCAAAAAGGAATAATTACTACATTTGATTTTAGTTTTACTGATAATTTAAGTGTAAGATAAATATTGTTGCAAATTACTTCGAATAATATATAATATTTTTTTAAATATTATGAAATATCATAAATCATCTGTGGATCAATCATTATTATTTGTTCGATTATCCATTATAATTTATATTTGAACTTCAAACATTTATTTAAAAATATAAATGGCTTTAAGTGTGTGCCTTTTATCTTATACAACTACACTCATATAAAATCTTGTAAAAATGTAGTAAAATAAACGTGAGATGATTAACTGAGAAATAAAAATCCATCATTAATAATATAAAACAAATAAATAAAATATTTAGTGAAATTGTTAAATGTTTAATTTATTTATGTTTGAATCATAACAATAAAATTAAATCTTTTCAATTAAAAACTATTGTTGAGAAAACATCCTTAATTTCCCATAATTTTTTTTTTTTTTTTTTTGTTTTTCTTGATTGTTTTGAAATAATAGTATCAACTAAATCCAATTTGTTAGCAGATACCACCATCAGGGTTAAAGATTGAACCATTTTTATTGCCCAAAAAGGTCATGGTAGTTGCATAAAAACACGCATACACACACAAATCATTGGAGTTAGCGCTTAGAATTTAAAATACACATTGTATACGTGCGACACCGCGATGGGCTCCACATAGAATTTGTAATATCACTAAAAAATAAGAATAGATCTTAAAATGTTTTTTTTTTTTAATATCAGCGCACTATATTTCTTTTTTTTTTTTGTCCATGCATTGTATATCAAAATTTCATTTAGATGAAACAATATTCTGTAATATTATAGATTTAATATTAGAACGGAATTTATCTATCATCACACTTAAAGTTAAAACAATTATATGTTTTTAGATTGCTATTATGTTATATTCTAGTTTCTTTGCAATATATGAAAATTTTTAAATTATTCAATTTGACATATTCATAACTATATTGAAATACATATTAAAAAACTATAGTAACACAATGGTTAATAATGTTCAAACAATTTTTATTTATTAATTTAATTTAATTTAATTTCTCCATATAGAAACACTGAAATTTTGAAATTAGGTCAAATCACTCTCATAAAGCTAACAACCAACACAAGATTAATTTTGCAGGATAAAAATATGTCATGGGTCTATGCTGCACGTTGGTCAGAGAGAAAAAACGAATTTACTCTGACTTCCTTTTATCTAATTGATTTTTTTTTTTGCATGAACTTCCTCTTATATATTTGAAAACTATAAACATTTCCTTATAGTTTATACAATATATATATGAATTCCGGGAATAAAAACATAATAAATATTATAATCTAACAATTATTTCAAATTTCATACTATAATTTAGTTAAACAATATGGTTTGAATATTGATTAGAAACTGTTTGCTTTAGTGTACAGTCTTTAGGGTATTAAGTTACCTTAAGTATGATCTTGTTATAATCAAACATCATGATTAGAACTAAATCATTTTTGAAAACCAATATTGATTGGTTGCTGTATTTTATTAAATAATATTTCTTTTATCTATAAGACAATACTACGTATATATTGTAATAATAAATTATTATAGTTAAATTTTGAAATGTATAATTTATTATTGAATTACATTAATAATATTAAATGAAACAAATTTTATTTTTATAATAATAACTTTAAAAGTTTTTCATCAAACTAAAAAATTCGAATCATTTAAGTAGTTTAAAAAAACACTATAATAATTATAACAACAATAATATTACTATTAGATTTAGTTTTTTTTTTTTTTATTATATTTTGAAAGTAATTGATGTGAAAAAAATTGTTTAAATTCTGAATTCTAGAGATTTTATTGACATTTGAAAACGATCACCCTAATAATTCATATTAAGTGTGTTTTAATTATAAACATTGTTATTTATAAATTTTGTTGCTCTAGAGATACTCTGAACTAGAGATGGAAGCTCAGTAAATTACCTGGTAAATTTTACCGATATTTTTTTTACCCAGTAAATATTTTTTACCATTCAAAAATTGAGTGACTACACTTTTTAATTTTTTTCATGCGATTGTAGATGAAGATGTTAGTGAAAATACAACAGAAGAAGATTTAACTTATTAGATAAATATAATATTTTAAGTGATGATGAATTTTATGAATTACACTTTAACCAGTAAAATTACATTTTATTAATAAGAATAAGTATAAATATATTTATAGTTATAAACTGGTTATTTTTTATTATTTTTTCCTAATTTAAAATAATTTAAAGTTCACATAATTTATTCACAATACTTATAAATTATAATACATAGGTATATAAATATAATATTAATTTTAGTAAGGGCCAAGGGGTAATGTACCATACATTGGTTAGTTTTGTTATAAAAATGTTATGAAGTTCGTATTAAGTTTAAAAACCACAAAAGTATTACGTATACATCATTAAAAATTTACTTAAAATGTACAGGTAAATTTACCAAAAATAAATTTTACGGTAAAATTCCCACCTGACTAAACCTCTTTATTAATCATAAATATACAATAGTTAATGTATTTATAAATAAATGTTTTTTCCTCGTTTAGTAAATCTATAGAGTTATTTATATAATTATGTTTGTTTAGTTAAAAATTTATTTTAGTTTATATTAAAAGCTTATAAAAATCAAATTTTACCCTCTTAAGAGTTATAAAATTAACTTGATTTAATAGTATAAAATTTTGATAAAAATACTTCCTTTTTTATTAGTTAAAATCCCGTACACTCAAATCAGTGATTATTTAATTATTAACACTGCGTATTTTAAATTAAAAGTTTTCTTTTCATGAGATTATCTTATTATTTTACTTTTATTCCTTTTTTAAATTTACTTTTGTAATACCCTTAAGATTTCTATTTGATATATGCCAAATCTTTTTGAATTTAAGTTGAACGAAGTGTATATTGATTATATTACAATGGTGTTAAATTTATTTATATTTGTTATTGTATATTCTTCTGTATGCCACTTTGGAAATAATACTATAAGAAACTTCTATGCAACTCATTCACAAATAGAAGAAAAAATAATAAAACTGTACTTGGAACATTTGAACGTTTGGTTCATTATATTTTAGAATTCATACCATTAAGTTAATAACTTTCTCTTTTAATGATTTATACTATTCGCCAATCAAAAAAATTAACTGTTCTTTCCTATTCTGTTAATAAAATAATATCACGATTAAAATATGTCTTTAACACGGTTAGGTATGTAACACTCATAACGTCAGCTGTAACACTTTTGAATGGTCAAACATTGAAGTTATGGTGTATCATATTGTAGTCATCTATTAGTTTTTTCGTGTATTTATATTTTTTGGATAATGTATAAACGACAAAAATTGAAATCGCACTAATGATTAAAACAAACTAAATAGTATATTATCCACGCGGTGACCCTTAAAATAACTATTATCACTGCAACAGATTTTATCTAGCGTCCTGCAAGAGCAAAAAAAAAAAAATCAATATTTACACAGTTGTTTCGACATGACATGTAACGCAATTATAGGGTGCAAATAGAAAAATTGAATATGTAAACACTATATACCAACAAGCATATACATACAATATAAATGCAGACATACATACCTATATATACATATATACATATTATATAAACACTAAAATGAATGCGACGACGTACCATCACTACTTGTGGTCTGCGATGAACGCTATGAAACACATCTTAGCAAATATGAGATATATTATAATGATATGCTCACATGCCATTGTATAACAACTTAAAAATAATAAATAAATAACAGTCAGGTTGTCACGAGCAGATAACGGTAATTTCTAATATAAATCCATATCACTGATGAAAAGGACGATTTATATTGTAATGTCCTGTAGACATTGTCAC